GGCTTAGGTCCAAGTATATTAGGGTACTGAAGCTGGGTGTTTAAGGTACATATACCTACCTTATAACTACCCCTGAATCTTCGAGCCTGCTTATCCCGTACTTAAGCAGGGCTTGCGCAGTGTATTCTGGAATTTGGGGTCTGTTCAGGTAGAGTGGTCTATACAATATAGGTTCCATATAAACCACGTCGAAAGTCTGAGGAATGCCGAAGCCCTAAATCCCTAAGCCCTAAGCCAGTTACCCTAAATCCGACTTACAGCCCCACTAGCAAAGATGATGGAACACCCCAAAAAAGGTTAGGGTTTAGGGCTTAAGGTTGCGAACATTGGGAGAACTGCCCCCAGAAAGTTTCCCCCAAATTCAACCCCCTAAACCCTAAACCCTAAACCCTAAACCCTAAACCCTGACCCCCAGCAGAGACCCAGAGTCACCCACCTCCTCGTCGGGCATGGTGTCCAGCAGACTGTTGACTTTCTCAACCAAGGCCCTTCCTCGGTTTTCGCAGCCCCCTTTTTGTCTCAGGGTGGTTGCCATAAGCTTGGAGCTCTTATTTCGGGCCGTGGCAGCACCAACCACAATCCGACACCAACACTCACCCTGTAGGGGGCAGAGAGTAAACCTCTAACCCCCCAAAGCTTCCCTAAACCCTAAACTCTAAACCCTAAACCCTAAGCTCCTAAACCCTACGGGCTACCATGAAGACGACTCCCTCCACCCAGATTGGCTGTACTCCCATCTGCTGGAGCACTTCGAGTCCACCCTAAACCCTAAACCCTAAACCCTAAACCCTAAACCCTAAACCCTAAACCCTAAACCCTAAACCCTAAACCCTAAACCCTAAACCCTAAACCCTAGCTCAAGGAGTTCTCCACCCTGAGCCCTTCATCCTCAACCGAGCGGCGCTGAAGCTCCAGGGTAAGGGTCTTTCGGGCGTTGGTTTAAGCTTACCTTCGCATTCAGAACCTGCGAAGCTGTTCCTGGAACCCTTAACCCTAAGCTCTAGGCCCGAAACCCTAAACCCTAAACCCTCAAACCCTAAACCCTTCAGTTCTTACAGGTGCCCCTGAAGAGCAAGGGGCTCCTGCTGCGCTCCTCACCCACCAAGGACAAGCTGTCCGCCGCTTGGAGTATCCTCGGCGCCACTCTGCGAAAAGGGCACAGCCCGGGCGCCCGAAAAAGGCAAGTCAGGAGGTCTAGGGTTTAGGGTTTAGGGTTTAGGGTTTAGGGTTTAGGGTTTGGGGTTTGGGGTTTGGGGTTTAGGGTTTAGGGTTTGGGGTTTAGCGTCTAGGGTTTAGGGTTTAGTTTAGGAGACTTCACAGACTAGAACCATCCCCCAGACACCACACTGGTCACCACGCCAGCAAGCCCCTGTCCCGACAATCCGACACTAGAACCCCTCAACTCCCTCCGAATCGGCAACCCTAAAAGCCCTAAAAACCCTAAAACCCTAAAACCCTAAAACCCTAAAAAAAACCGAAAAACCCTAAAACCCCTAGAACCCCTAAAACCCTAAAACCCTTAAAACCCTAAAAAGCATTAAACACGCAGAAAACCCCACAGTAACTCGCCCTAAGAGCCCTAAAAACCCTATGGCCAGTTCCAGGACACCCTCAACCCTCAACCCTCAACCCTCAACCCTCAACCCTCAACCCTCAACCCTCAACCCTCAACCCTCAACCCTCAACCCTCAACCCTCAACCCTATAAACCCTAAACCCTAAACCCTAAACCCCCAGTCCTAAACCCTAAACCAGAAGAGGCTCCGAGTGCCCTCGTCCTCTGCCGCACGCTTGGGGAGACGCCGGCTGCTGACCTCCTGCTCCAGCCTCTCCGTCTTTGGTGGTGCTGAAGGCCCTAAACCCTAAACCCAACCCCAAACCCCAAACCCTACACCCTAAACCCTAAACCCGAAGGGCAGGGTTCAGGATTTGCAGTGCTTAGGGTTTAAAGGGTTTTGGACTTTGGGGGTTTAGGAGGAGGGGGGGGGGGGTCTGTGGGTGGGACTCTGACGTCTGAGACGTTTCAGGATGCGCATCCTGGACAGTCCCCTAAACCCTAAACCCTAAACCCTAAACCCTAAACCCTAAACCCTAAACCCTAAACCCTAAACCCTAAACCCTAAACCCTAAACCCTAAACCCTCCGGAACCCTGACTTTACTTGAGGCTCATGGGTACTTTCAAGCGGGCTTAAGCAGGGCAGCGCGTTGTAGTTTCAAGCCATAACCCTACTGATACGAAGTATGAGACTATGGAGCTTCAGGGTGTAGGGTTTAACTCGGGTTTGGGGTTTAGGGTTTAGGGCTTAAGGTTTAGGGCTTGGGGTAGGCTTCCTCACGATCTACAGATCCACATCGCCTTCATTGTATTTCACGGTCACAGCTTTCGCGTAGTCTGGTCTGGAGGCGAGGACAACAGCAAAGTTGCCACTCAATTTAGAACTGAATAAGCCGACTGGTACATCTAATGCCTGGCCTATAGGCTGCACTAGAATTTTAGATGCCATGCTTGTTCTATTTGCTTAAGAACCCCAAAAAAATGAAAATCTCCTCCACGACATCACCACAAGCGTCGTGGTGAAGTCACCGCACGTCATCGCGACAAGGTGCTGCAATTTCTCACATGCACTGTGCACACTGCACACACTGGGTAGGGTTTAGTGTTTAGGGTTTAGGGTTTAGGGTTTAGGATTTAGGATTTAGGGTTTAGGGTTTGGGGTTTAGGGCTTAGAACACATGCACGCGCAATACTGTCCGCATCCATACCTGGTGTCTGCATGCTCACACCAGGTTGCCAGGGTGGTGAGGACCAGATGACATCGATTACCCCGGTGTGCTCGAGCCTATATCCTCAATCCCTAAGCCCTCTATACCCCAACATATACTAGGCTGCCCAGTAACCAAGGCTTAAAAAGGGTGCCCTTTTTTGCTTAAAGGGGTTTATAAGGGAAGCTAAACCCCATAAGGGTACTACTGGGCATCCTAGATACCCCAACATATAAACCCCAAGCCGCTCAACCCTGTTAATGAAGCCTCTTCATCGGATGCACCCGCAAATCGCAGCGGGACTCGGTATGATTGTGCCTCCCCTAAACCCTAAACCCTAAACCCTAAACCCTAAACCCTAAACCCTAAACCCTCAACTTGCTCTGGAGACCTGGGGTGAAGCATTGTCAGACATCGGAAATCGTGGATGTCGGAATTCGCGGATTCAAGAATTCGTGGATATGCACCTCCGTCCGCCCGCGCTCTGCGCAGGGCACGCGGGATGCAATCCTTCAAACAGGGTTTAGGGTTTAGGGGTTTAGGGTTTAGGGGTTTAGGGTTTAGGGTTTAGGGTTTAGGGTTTAGGGTTTAGGGTTTAGGGTTTAGGGTTTAGGGTTTAGGGTTTAGGGTTTAGGGTCTAGGGAACTGAAACGATCTTTCAAACACGAGGAGTGAAACCTTGGCCAGCTGCCTGGACCGCACATCTAAGACTCGCAAGTCAAGTAGCAACAGTAGGTTCAGGGTTTAGGGTTTGGGGTTTAGGGTTTAGGGTTTACGGGGCTCCGGGCCAGGGAAGGAATGCCAGGAATGACCCCACCGGACCACTCGTCAGGCCCCACTCCAACTCGCAAGGTCATGGCGCCAGCCGTTAGGCAAGCTTCGTTCTGACACTCCAAGATTTCGTAAAGACACAGGAGCTTGCAAACCACTGGAAGGAACCAAAAGAAGTAGGTTGCCCTGAGCCTAAGCCCTAAGCCCTAAGCCCTCAGCCCTCAGCCCTAAGCCCGAAGCCCTAAGCCCTAAGCCCTAAGCCCTCAGCCCTCAGCCCTCAGCCCTCAGCCCTAAGCCCTAAGCCCCTAAACCCTTTTAGAGGATGTTTAGCAAGGGTCCCCAAACCTCGCGGGGGTACAACCTTAGGGGTCCAAGTTTGGCTCATAGGAGCCTTTAGAAGGGTACGCCTACTTTACGGAAGCTCGCCAAGCTCTCCCTTTTAACCTATCTGAGAGAAAAGATTCCTAAAGAGAACCCTCTTATAAACCTATCTAGGCCTATCTTACCCTAGGACACCCCAAAGAGGGTTTAGGGCTTAGGGTTTAGGGTTTAGGGTTTAGGGTTTAGGGTTTAGGGTTTAGGGTTTAGGGTTTAGGGTTTAGGGTTTAGGGTTTAGGGTGGGTTTCTCATGCCACGGCTGGCACACTTTTTCAGGGGAGGATGCAGGTGACCGGTAAGTGGTGTCGTCCATACGCGAGGGGGCTCCATGGGGCAAAGATGCAAGGCATTGCTTCCTGCTTCTATGGCGCCCTCCGCCTTACATGTAACTAGGGTTTAGGGTTTAGGGTTTGGGGTTTAGGGTTTAGGGTTTAGGGCTAGGATGTAGGGGGCAGAAGTGGAGGTCATGATGGAACGTCCGATTAGGGCAAGTAGCATGTGAGAGAACGAAAAGCGCCATGTGAGCACCGTGTATGCAATATGTAAGCACCATGAAAGCACCAAGTGAGCAATATTCTTGAGGCAAGCACCCTGTAAGCACTGGGTAGAGTACCGCGCGCCTGCCCCCAACTACGGCACTCATGCGCAAGCAGCATGTCTTACATGTGAGCCTTAAAGACGGAGAGCAAAAGAAAGCTTTGCTTACACTGTACAAGGGAACCCAGAACAAAAAAAAAAGGGGTACAGGATACCACTGGGCTACCCAAGGCAACGACACCGGATTACCAGTCACCAGCTGCTGGGGTTGGACTCTTTGGCGCAGCCAAGCTCCACGGGAAAGCACCGCGCGGAGCCTGGCGCTGCCTGGTTTAAAAAGACAAAAACAAACCGTCAAGGGACCTTTGGGGGGTGTTTCCCTTTCAGTAAGGGGACCGACCCTTTCTCGACAAGCAAGATACTTGAAGCCTTGCCTTCTAGAATTCCTCCTCGCCCCAAGTAGGGTACCCCCTATTTTGGAAATCGGAAAACCCCCCCCAACTCTTAAATGACGAAGTCAACCTTGGGATCTCTCCTCATCGCGCTGTGCACTACCAGCATGTCATCGAAGGAAGCGACTGTGCTCTTGGCATGGCAGGGGGAGGGGGATCTTCTTGCAACTCCTCGTGGCACTCCAAGAATGTGTTCCTCACATGGGTCTTCACTCCGTGCAATACAGGGCATATAGGGAGTGTCGCCGGGAGTTCCGGGAGTTCTGAGAATGTGTCTGGGAAGCTGGGCGCCGAAGTTGCCGGGAAAGCGCCTTCGCAAGCGCTTGCTGCGCTTGCTGCGCTTGCTGCGCTTGCTGCCGAGCATCCGCGGCTGAAGGCTGTCTCCCCGCCTTCCCAAGTGCTCTGGCGGCTGAAGCTCTCATGGGAGAATGTCTCCACATCCTTTCCTTTGGGTTCGCTGCGCCGGGTCTTGCTCATGTTCACGGGGGCCCTGGCACCGGCAGACTCCAGCATGAGTCTTAACGCTGCCTGCTCGTGCAGCGTGTGCTGCGCGTGCAAGGTCTGCAGGAGCTGGGCGGCTGTTTCGCATTCGCCCGCGCTCTCTTTGGCCACTGAGTTGGGGCGGCTCGGGCTCTTGCAGGGTGCCACTTTGGCCGCGGAGCCGGGTCGCAGCTCCTGCCTTCCATGGGCAAACTTGCAGGTGTGACCAGCTGCACAGTTACCTTCGATGAAATCCGGGCACAGCCGGGTCTTGGAGAAGTCCGGCTGATCTCGTAGTTGGTCGGATCCGTGTGCAAAGGCACAGGTCGAGCCACGTGTGCAGGCCCCCAAGACAAAGAATTTGCACAACCGGGTCTTCTTGTGCACCTGCAGGCGCTTCACGTCCCTGTCTGCCGCGACCACATTGGGACCCGCTGCCGACATTGCACTGCGCTGTTGGCAGAAGGTTGGCCGGCTCTACCAAACTGTCCCTGTAGATGGCCTAAACCGACAAAGCCGTCTCACGGCAAGCAGCTGATCTTGGGATGTTCCCGCTTATACTAAGAGTCCTAAGTAGGGATTCCAGTACCCCTCAGAACAATCCCTGTTCAGGACTGTTAGTATAAGGGGGAACATCACAAAGCTGATCAACAAGTTCAAGCAACGCTCGCTGCACCAGAATTTCAGAGCTGGTTGCAGAATTCACTGTCAGCACGAGCACTGTCATTTAGTACCAGGTGTGAGCCCTTAAACCCCCCCCCCCCCCCCCCCCCCTAAATCCCTAAATCAACCCCCTAAACCCCCAAAACCGCATAAACAACCTGAACCCCCTAAACCCCCTGAACAACCTAGACAACCGAAACCCCCCCAAACCCCCTATAAAGCCCCTGAACAACCTAAACAACCTAAACCCTATAAAGTCCCAACCCCCTAAACCCTAGACCCTAGACCCTAGACACTAGACCCTAAACCCTAAGCCCTAAACCTTAAACCCTAAACCCTATAAAGTCTAAACTCCGGACTGGCCTCTGCAGCCGATCTTCCAGCTCGAACAAGCGGCTACCAAGTGCTTCCTTCATCCAAGCGTTTAGGGTTTAGGGTTTGGGCGGTTTGAGGTTTAGGGTTTAGGGTTGGGGCGGTTTGGGGTTTAGGGGTTTAGGGAGTTTAGGGTTTGGGGTTCGGGGTTTGGGGTTTAGGGTTTGGGGTTTAGGGCTTGGGGTTTAGGGTTTGGGGTTTAGGTTTCGCTGCGAGTCCGATTCTTCCGTGAAGTGATTGGGGGCGCGTGAGCTGTAATGCCCGCGGTTTGGGTTTGGGGTTGAGGGTTCAGGATGTAGGGTCTTGGGGCTTAGGGTTTGTATCCATCGCCTCTCCGCGTTCTCGCCCATCCCTCCCTTTACTCCTACATATATGATGCCCCGGTACCCCTCCACAATCCTGACCCCCTAACCCTAAACCCAGCACGAACCACGGGCGGGGGATAATTAGGGGAAACCCTAAACCCTAAACCCGAAACCCTCAACCCTCTACCCTAGACCCTAAACCCTAAACCCTAAACCCTAAACCCTAGTCTGTACACACCCGAAAACCCGAAACCCAGCATGAACCACAGGGGGGGCGGAGAGAAAGCCTAAACCCTAACACCGAACCCTAAAGCCCTCTCAACTCTAAACCCTGAATCTTAAACCCTGGTTTAGGGTTTAGGGTTTAGGGTTTAGGGTTTAGGGTTTAGGGTTTAGGGTTTAGGGTTTAGGGTTTAGGGTTTAGGGTTTAGGGTTTAGGGTTTAGGGTTTAGGGTTTAGGGTTTAGGGTAACCCACCATGAACCACATGGGAAAGATACCAGAAGCCCTCAACCCCACGCCCAAACTGGAGCGCAAGCCCTAAACGCTATACTGTAGAGCCTGACCCTGAAACCCTGAACCCACCATGAACCACGAGGGCGGCGGAGGGGGGATACCACGGAAGGGGAAGGGGGTGCATGGATGCTTGCGCAACAAGGCCTTTAGGTTTAGAGATTCAGGGTTCGGGGAGTAGGGGTGGCTTAAGGTTTTGAAGTTCAGGGTTGAGGGCTTAGGGTTGTTGTAGGGGTCTAGGGCTTCGGGTGTTGGATTTAAGGGAAGCATGCGAAAGAAACACCGGCCTCGACTGAGTCTGTTGACGCCCACCCTATGCCCTCAACCCGAAACCCTGAACCCTAAGGAGCGGGTTCACCTGCCTCTTTCTTCTCTGCAGTCGTGTAGATCGCGAAGCCGCTAAGGCAAAGGACCAACCTGTCATTTAAGGGTCAGGGTTTAGGATTCAAGGTTGCGTGCCTTGGAGCCTTTTGGCAGCTTTGGGCAACTTACTAGGGTTGACTCAAAGGGGGGGGGGGGTTGGGACACAGTGACCATAAAAAAACCTTAAACCCTAAACCCTAAACCCTATAAACCCTAATGCCTATAAACCCTAAACCCTATACACCCTACACCCTAAACCCTAAACCCTAAACCCTAAACCCTAAACCCTAAACCCTAAACCCTAAACCCTAAACCCTAAACCCTAAACCCTAAACCCTAAACCCTAAACCCTAAACCCTAAACCCTAAACCCTAAACCCTAAGCGAGCTGAGACATCAGTGCTTTTGAAGAGGAGAACTGCCACGTGGAAGTGTTAGCTGCAGCTCATGTTTCTGAGCTGCAACTAGCTGTGAGATGCATGGTGGCAGGCTTCCAAGAGAGCCCAATATCCTTTGATCAACGAAACCACCTTCACCTATCTAAGGCCCTAAACCCTAAACCCTAAACCCTAAACCCTAAACCCTAAGCCCCAAGAACATACTCCTTCAGTAACGGGGTGCCGGGTATTGGGCCTCATGGGTCTTCAACGCAGAAGATGCGGCCGGGCTCGTCGCCCAGGTGTCTCTCTCTTGAAAGTACTATTAGGGTTTAGGGTTTAGGGTTTAGGGTTTAGGGTTTAGGGTGTAGGGTTTAGGGTTTAGGGTTTAGGGTTTAGGGTTTAGGGTTCAGGGTTTATATAGGGTTTATATAGGGTTTAGGGTGCACCCTCTAATTCTCCTGTTTAGGGTTTGGGTTTTGGATTTAGGGTCTAGGGTTTAGGGTTTGGGGTTTAGGGTTGTTTAGGGATTACGGTTTAGGGAATGCTGTGCAGCTTGTCTTTCATGGGAACATCCTGATTCAATCTCTCTGACAGTTCGCCACGCACCCAAGCCAAAGGTACATAACCTAAACCCTAAGTCCTAAACCCCAAACCCCAAACCCCAAACCCTAAACCAAAAACCCTAAACCCTAAACCCTAAGCCCTAAACCCTAAACCCTGAACAACCCCAAGCTCTGCTTCCGTTCCAGCAATCCTGGGAGAAGGCCTACCTGTGCAGCCATGGATGAATTTGGGCACCGGGCGAGAAAGGCTTGTGCATCTAGGGTTGAGGCTACTGCTCCCAACTGAGTAGTCTCCACCCTAAACCCTAAACCCTAAACCCTAAACCCTAAACCCTAAACCCTAAACCCTAAACCCTAAACCCTAAACCCTAAACCCTAAACCCTAAACCCTGTCGGTCGGGTCTGAGCTCAAATCTTCGGGGGGCGTGAACTCCGTGAACTCTCGGACCGGCAACACCTATAGGAATTCGGTGCCTTTAGGGCCTTCCTCCTGGAGGTTCAAGGGCTCGAGATTTTGGGTTTAGGGTTTAGGGTTTGGGGTTTAGGGTTTGGGGTTTAGGGTTTGGGGTTGAGGCCTTGCACGTTCTGAATGGGGAATGAATTTACTTTGCGTCCTTCCATCCAAGGGGCAAGGCACCTAATTCCCAAATTCCCTACTGGGTACTAGGGAAGGTTTTTTGGGCTTGGAGGCTCAAGTTTAGGGCGTCAACATTCAGACTTAAGTTGGGGCCCTAAACCCTAAACCCTAAACCCTGAATCAGGCTTAGGAGGATCTTTCCTCCGGAGGAAGAACGTCGCGTGCATTCCACCGAGCTATGTGCATGAAGCCTCTCGGCGGCTGTATGCGCAGCACGTGTGGCATGCGATCAAAATTCGAGGGTCTCTGACCCAGAAGCTCTGCACATTGATCCAGGCATGTAAGAAACACAAAAGTCCCCAAACCCTACACCCTAAACTCTAAACCCTAAACCCTAAACCTTGAACCTCTCATCCACGCAGCTTTTGCGAACACTTCCCATGCTTCAAGCATGACTTGCGCTGACCATTCCGAGCCCTTGTGGTCTCTCAATGACCGTAACCTATAGGATACGTAGCACTCGACCCAAGGAAACGCCCCTAAACCCTAAACCCTAAACCCTAAGCCCTAAACCCTAAATCCTACGAAAAGAGCTCACAGCATGGTGGCCGCCAGGACGCCCAGGGCCGCCCCAAAGGCTCCCGTGGCCGCACCGCTCGTCTCAGACATGCCGCCTCATGGAGGAAGGCTTTAGGGTTTAGGGTTTAGGGTTTAGGGTTCAGGGTTCAGGGTTCAGGGTTTAGGGTTTAGGGTTTAGGGTTTAGGGTTTAGGGTTTAGGGTTTAGGGTTGAGGGTCTAGGGTTGAGGAAGGCCTTACTTGGAGGTTCATGGGTAGTTAAAAAAGTAAGGCCTATAACTACTGGTTGTAAATTTATTTTGGGTAGCTATAACCCTACTTATAACTACCCATGAACCCTCAAGTAGGGTTTAGGGTTTGGGGTTAGGTCAGCCGTGAATGTCGGACAGGGTCCGGTGGCAAAATGGGAGTTTAGAGCTCAGTGGAAGCAACCCTCAACCCTGAAACCCCCACCGGTCAGGGTTTGATGTTGAGGCGCTTGTGAGAAGCCGTCCTCCTTTTTGCTTTCAGCTTTGGTGCCTAGGGTTCAGGGTTTGGGTATACTGTCTGTAATATTTACGCAGCATGACAATAGCCACTTTAGAAGGACATAAGCCTTAAATGCCTAAACACCCTAGACCCTACACCCCAAGCCCTAAACCCTAAACCCTAAACCCTCAATCCTCAACCCTCAACCCGCAACCCTCAATCCCAACCCTGGAGCCCACATAAAGGGACCACACAACTACCCTTAGGAATCCGAAAGTTGCCCTAAACTGCCCTAGGCTCCTAGAATCCTTTGAAGAAGGTAAGGAACCACATAAAGGAACCGTATAAGCACCCTTAGGAATCCGAAAGTTGACCCTAAACCCTAAACCCTAAACCCTGAACCCTAAACCCTAAACCCTAAACCCTAAACCCAAAACTACCCTAAGCTCCTATGATACAAGGTGTCATCCTCAGCTCTAAGCCCCGAAACCCTAAACACCGAAACTCTAGGGTTTCGGGTTTTGAGTGCAGGGTTTAGGAGGAACCCTGCTACCCTAAACCCTCAACGCCCTAAACCCCTGAACCACACTAGACCCGATCCCTATGTCCAGGGCCTGCCTCCCAGGCCCCTCGCAACTAGTTATATAGGGTTTAGGGTTAAGGGT